TTGCCTGTAACCCCTGTCTCTCTGAAAATGTATAAAACTGAACTGTAACCCAGCCACGGCGAGTCCACTTGCCCAAGGCCTCTTGGCAGTGGCTCCGGGTCATGGTCCTCAAATTTGGCTCAGAATAAATCTCTTTAAAAATTATTTTACAGAGTTTGGCTTTTTCCGTTAACAGCCTTAACACTCAGACTAAATATATAATAATTATTAAACCACCAACAAACAGAATAGATGTTAGGTTATGAAAATATCACAGAAATCGAGTTACTTTTCACCTTTTTTATGGCTTTTCACTTTTGTTCTCACATTTCTCTGTGAGGAGTAGCTGCTGGAGGAATTTTCTGATGAAACACTCAGGAAATCAGAGTCTTGCACTTTGAAGCCCAGAAGTGGGCACCTGTTCCCAAGTCCCCTGTGACTTTTAGGCTAGCTCTCCTCTACCTCGTCCATGTGCTTCTCATTAGCTGTGACACGTCTGTCTCAGTAAAGTCTCCTGAGACCCAGCAAACCTGCCATTTCCAGGAGCCAGTCTCCCGATGGCCTTCTCAGAAACCCATTTAAACTCGGCCTCTTCACACCCGGCGGTGCTCCCCTCCGGCAGGCCCAGGGCAGAGCCTCCAGGCGCTGCGGCGCTCCATCTGCGGCCTTCTTCTGCCTTTCAGTTTTCCACAATTATTATCACTCTTTGATTGTTCAACATTTCCCCGTAAAGACAAGAAGCAGGCCTTCTACACATTTCTAAAAGGCTAGAGAATTTGTGTGACTTTTCCTGGCAACGAAAAATGTTTCAAGGATTTCTAGGATGACATTTTGTGTTTGTTTTGGTGATATTTCCTTTGCAGAGTTATATTACAAAAATAGCTCTTAATAACTTGTTACACGTCTTTCTTTGTCCTAACTCCACCGTCAGTTGCTAAGGATACCTCTAGTCTATAATTCAGTCATGCCAAGTTCTTAAGTTCAAATTAAAAATCAATGTGTACTGGATCTTCAAGGGTGATATGCAAACAACACCTGGACATACAGGTGGCCCAGAGTTTTTGTTACTTTCCTGTGGTGGACACCAATAGCTATGAATTGCTATGTGTGTTTTTCCCTCAGTATGAACTGGGTGAAAAACTAAGTCCACTAAATGTAATCATTTTCCCTTCTAGCAACAGATCACCTTTGACCTGTGGAAAATCTCTGTTCATTCTCCATCCTTTGTTTAGTTATATAAACTTCTCATAGTTTGCTGGGAAGTTTCTGTTTCACGACATTATGCGTAACCTTCTCTGTCTCTGAACGGCTACCTTGAGAGGAATTCACCTCTAAGGAAGTGAGAGATGATGTTCTTTTGTTGGAATGTGGTTTAGGATAAAATTGGACATTTGAATGATTTCTGATGAAAATAATGTGGCTTTCATTTCAGTTCCTAGGAGATGTATGCAGCATGCTGTTTTTAATAGCTGGCATTCAGATTGCATAAATGAGAAAAGACAGGAGGAATCTGAGGTTATATGGAAAAATGAATAAGTTATTTTAAAGTGTTTTGAAAATCAAATCATTGGATTTTATCCCAACAAATGCAAAGTTCTTGACTAAACTTAGGCAATATAATGAATCATCTAGGAGCTTCTGCTATACTTAAACCAACTCTGTATTTGTTCCACTCTCCCAGTTCCCTTGATGAGAAGCCAGGTCTTGTGAAATTATGCAGGAATTTCACATATCCTAGGCCAAATGCTAATAAGCACTAACCTGCCTCCTCCTTGTAGTAGCACTTTAAATATCTGATGCATGAAGAAGTAGCTTGGTTTCCACAACTTTTCTTGGTGATCTGACTGAGTTTACATTCTCTGCATGACAAAAACAAGCCAAATGTAAGCTGGGCCTAAGGAAATCAAGGCAGGGTGGTATGTACCTTCTGGTCTCGAAATCTCAGGTGCTAGTTCAGTGGGGCAGTGGCTGTCCCATAGCCCCCACCTCAGATGCATGTACATTGAGAGGCAGATGCCCATTCAACTATTTGTCTGAATTATCTAGACTGAGTGTTGCAAATCTCAGGTTGTAAGGTTGCTATTAAGTACAACAGTGCAAAGAATCTTCTTTTCTTTACCTGTTTCTGTGTCTGTGTGTATAATTTTAACAAATTCTTTACTCCCATAGGATTTTTAAAAAATAACTTAAGTAAACCTTAATCTTATGAAATAGTATTTGAAGGGCACAGAAGAGCTAAATGAAAAACTTGTGCTTGGTCTTAGTTTCTGAAGTGCAGACTGTGAACCAGCTTCCTCATGCTCTGCATGGTGCATTGTCCCTGTGTTCCGGCCTTCATTTTGCAGATGAGGACACTGATCACTGAAGAGTTGCAGGTTTTTGCATTAAAGACAACGAGCTGACATAGGTGGACTTCCGCAGACCCTCTAACGTTAAGCACAGACTCTTTGCCTTCTTGTCAAAGGTACAAACATTTTGCAAATCGTATTTCCATAATGATTTTAAAGGATGTGCAGACATGTGGATTTCTCAAATCTCCCCAGTAATTTGCAAGCATTATTTTAGTGTCCACCACACCAATGCATAGAATAAACTCCCATCAGAAACAGATCTATCTAGTTGTGGGTCTTATTCTGATTTCCGTTTTCTTTGTGGATCCTGGCAGAAGGGGTATGTGATTGACAAATGAAAGTGGTTCTAAGTCATTCCCATATTTCCTGAAAACATTTGCATTTTATTATCCAATAATTTTATAATTTTTATTCCAATATAAGCTTATTCTTAGTGACTCCAGCTTCTCTAAATAATAAGCAATTTAAAAACACAGAGAAGATTAAGCAACATATGTTTTTGCATTTGGTTTCAAAATTGCCCAATTTTACATTAACCTGGTTTGAGAACATCTCATATGAAAATACAACAGTTAAGTTTTAATGTGTCTATAATAAGTCAATGGTGTGATGTGTCTGGTACAAAAACAAAAAAATAATATTTCCAGTGTATTCTGTACTGGAAAAATCACACTTAATCTATGGAAATTGAGATATTACATTTTAAAATGGGCATTGCAAAGACCATCCAAAGTTAATTGACTTGAGCATTTTGACAAAAAAATCCATAGGTGAATGCACACAAGAACTGGGGAAGCATAGCCTGGCACAGAGAAGGATGAAAGGAGACACTACAGTCAGTCTGAAGTGCTGAATTTTGAAAAGGGAGAAAGCTGCTTCTAAGTGCATTCAGAGGGCAAGGAGGGAAACTGTATGAGGCAGATTTAATCCAAGCTAGCACAGAGCTTCCTAGCAACAAGGCTTTTACATTGAAGAAGCATGGAGCATGCTCTTTCATTTGTCAGAAACTTCGCCAGTGGCATATAGAAGTAGGCAGAGGCTGCGACTTACAACTTAGACATTCTATTGTCACTTGATGTAAAGGACAGGCTGAGTGATCACCACAGACCTAGGCAATAACTGTATCCTAACTTCAAATTGTAGTGATGTGGGAGCAAGGCATTTGCAACCATCCCTACTCAACCGAACATGCACCCCTTATGAAATAGGAAAGAATATTTTCAAATGTCAGGATAAAATAAATGCATTGACTTCTATTGTTGTGGGGTATTATATAATAAAAAGTAATTTAAGTAAGCCTGAAAGAAAATTCTATCCAATGAAATCAAGTCTGTTTTATCCAATAACTTTTTTTCTCATATTCTCATAATTTGTAGGCCAAGCATATCTCTGCTCCTCAAAGACATTTAGATTTTCTGCAAGCTTAATTGCAGTGCATTCATTATTCAGAGAATTTCCACTGAATACCGTTTCCTTCGAGTCCAGGGATATTTGAAACGATATAGAATTTAACTCCTGAGATATCTTCATTGGGAGTACCTGGGTTTACAAACCTGAAGATCGGAGGTATTTACAATTTAAATTCATAGATTTTAGATGAATATGTAAATTGGTTAAATGAGAGATTGGGAATTCTCATACATTTATTAATAGTTCTGAATTTGCATATATGTATATAACATTGACATTTTACTTGTATACACTGGCATTTATGAACTATTTTTACCTGTAACTAAAAATTTCTTATTTGATTCTTAAAGCAAACCTGAATGTTTTGTTATCTTAACTAATATAAATAGATACTGAAGCTCAATAACTTTGGGAAGAGAATCCAGGGTCACAGAATTCATCAATTTCATGACAAGCAAAAGAACTCAGTTAATCTAATTCTAAATTTTGTTTTACTACATGTCTACCACATCATTTCAGAAGCTAAATTCCTATATAAAGTCATAGACTCATTCGAGATATTTTCTGATTATTTCCATGTGTACCAAACCATAGCAAAACGATGCAATCTGTACCAGTAAAAATTCAGCAAGTATAGGTCCTTCTCAGGGCGTCCTCCGTGGTGAGGAGCAGACACTGCCTCTGACCTGATGCTGTATTTAAAGTCCTGGTTCGCAGTGGGAAGGGCGTGCTCTCTGACAAGCGAGACCTTCTATGTGCTCATAGGAAGGAGTGGCCAGATAGCTGCAAAATTGAAGTCTTTAGAATTTTCCTTTGCGTTGCTAGGACTATGGAGCTTGCTATGGAAAAAGCCAGGGACAGCAGAAGATTTAAAAATACACACCTATATACACACATTTAGGAGATGGTGTGAACAGAGAACAGAAAAACTTTTTGGCTTTGTAAAGCAACACATCATTTTCCCTCTGTCCTCAGAGTTTCAGGACATGGTAAAAGTTAAACCCCAAATGTGGAAAGTGTGGAAGCAGTTGAAATACTACTGATATTTAGACTATTTCATAAAGTGGACAGCATTTTTTCTTCACATACATATTTTAATGGGCTCCATTAATGAAAAATGGAAAAGGCAAAAGAAAAATGAGGTAAATTGTTGACAACAATGATGACATTGTATCAGGGAAACTTATAAAACCCGGCACCAAATATTTTGAAATGGACAAAAAAAATTTTTCAAAAGGGATATACATGAAAAACATAGTTTGCATTCTTAAAAAACTGTTTGCATTCTTAAAAAATAATCCTGATTATAATAATTTATGTGATTTACTCTCAACTATGACTACTTTTCACAAGTCACATTAACGATTATATATAGTTAAAGATTTAGGAGATTCACATGTTGGCACACTTTATTTGATAACTACAGTGAATGTCTAGCTGTTGCTGCAGGCTGTGGATGAGAACGAGAATGAATTGAGACTGTCCGACCCAAACACTTCTCCCTCTCACAGATCCAAGTCTGCCATTAGTGAAAGGGTGTATAGCTCCTTACTTCTTAGGTTTATCGTAAAGATCAATGAGTCAATAGATGCAATCGCTTGCTAGCATGACACAGAGCACAAAGTGAACTTTTCACAATGTCATCACTGTTATTCTCAATAGTAATTTTTTTCTGTACATTTGATTGAAATGCTCAGAGTTTTAGAATATTTAGAGGAACATTCAAGTAGTTTGAGCAATTTAACTCCCAAACAAGTTGGTAAAATGTCTGACCTGGAATATATTTAGCTTTAAAACACATGAAAAATCATCCTTTACTTTCATAAAGTTTGTTGTGGATTCTTTTTCTTTATCAAAACCTAAAATTATATGGAACACGGTCACTCTGTTTTCCTTAATTACCCAATTTTCAAAAATAATAGGTGGGTTATAGTTCAATATGTATGTGTCTGTACTATTTCCTCTAAATCCTAATTGCTAATACTCATGCTAATCATAATGCTAATGCCAATTTCTCATCATCCTAAAATTAAAAATAAAGAAAAATAATTTTAGAACAATGAATATCTCTTGTATTGGATGATCCTTTTATGTCTGAATTCGCAAGAGCTCATGTTATTTCATCTCTGAAATAACATGTCTGAAACATGAATAAATTGACACCGAGTATATCCTCATGATGCAGACAATGACTTGTGGCCCAAATGTAGATGACGCATCCTTGTGGGTAAATGGCAGACATAGACTACTCATGGGCTGTACCAAAGAAGTTTTGAAGATGGTGTTGATTCTGACCATCCTAAGGTGTGTTTAATAATAATACAAATTTAAATATATCTAAGGCAGTACACATAAACACACATGCATACGCATACATATGAGGCCATCATATGTTTAGCTGCTGTACAGCATGGCATGCATCCTTAGGCGTTGTTATGTATATCGTTGTGGTACAATGGCATCTGCTGACATCATCTTGTCCAATGTATTTAAAGAATTATTGATTACTAATGGTCAACTTTATTTAAAAACATTCTGGAATAGATAAATTTCTAGATACCAATTCCAAAGTATCAATAATATTATTTTAAAATTTATTATTCCAACTTTTAGAAGTTTGCTGACTGATAGTTATCTTATATGCTGCTATTTTAATTCCCTGGAAAGTCATCGTTTTATTTGAAAGCCTCTAGGTTGGACCAGCACCACTAACTATAGACTGATGGAAGGGAGCAACACGTCCTCTACTGACTTCACCTTCACGGGCCTGTTCAACACAAAGGAAACCTCAGGCCTTCTTTGTGCTGTCGTCACTGTCATCTTCTTCACTGCACTGATGGCCAACGGAGTCATGATCTTCCTGATCCAAACTGATCGGCACCTCCACACCCCCATGTACTTCCTCCTCAGCCACCTCTCCTTCATCGACATGACGTACATCTCCACCATCGTGCCCAAGATGCTGGTCAATCACCTGCTGGGTCAAAGGACCATTTCCTTTGTGGGGTGCACAGCTCAACACTTCCTCTACCTTACCCTTGTGGGAGCTGAGTTCTTCCTTCTGGGCCTCATGGCCTATGACCGCTACGTGGCCATCTGCAACCCTCTGAGATACCCTGTCCTCATGAGCCGCCGGGTCTGTTGGATGATCATAGCAGGTTCCTGGTTTGGTGGCTCTTTGGATGGCTTCCTCCTAACTCCCATCACCATGAGCTTTCCTTTCTGCAATTCCCGGGAGATTAACCACTTCTTTTGTGAGGCACCGGCGGTCCTGAAATTGGTATGTGCAGACACAACCTTGTATGAGACAGTGATGTATGTGTGCTGTGTGCTGATGCTGCTGATTCCTTTCTCCGTGGTGATTGCTTCCTATGCCCGAATCCTGACCACTGTCCACCACATGAGCTCTATGGAGGGCAGGAGGAAGGCATTTGCCACCTGTTCCTCTCACATGACTGTGGTGACCTTGTTCTATGGGGCTGCCATGTACACCTACATGTTGCCACACTCTTACCACACACCTGCCCAGGACAAAGTCCTGTCCGTGTTCTACACCATCCTCACACCCCTGCTGAACCCCCTCATCTACAGCCTGAGGAACAGAGACGTGACTGGAGCTCTGAAGAGGGTGCTGGGGAGATTCAGGGGTTCTCAGAGAGTGTCAGGACATGTCTCTTAACAGTCAGCTCCTTCCCAGGCAGATAAACAGGAGGGTCCATGGCCACGGTGGCTGTGCTCTCAGTGAAGGAGTGAACAGGAGGGATGGCGCGGTGTCACGGCTGTATACTGGTTTTCATTCACGGTTCCCATAGATTGTGTTGCAATGTTGGGGGCTCAGAAGCAGGCCTCAGAAAACAGTCTCTGACTTTCTCCTGTCTTTGTTCACCGGCTCCTCTTTCTCCCCAAAGCAGGCCTCAGAAACTAAAGTATTCGCTAACCTTCCCCAACTTGTGGCCATAAAGAAATTCTTTGATCTACCTTGTCTGAGTGTAGGTCATGAGTCCCCATTTCAGAGGGGACCTGCCTCCTAGCCTGGAGGAGGAAGCCCTGCACCGAGAGGCCAAGGGCGACCTGAGCAGGCAGGCTCGCCTGGCTCCCCGCTCGGCGCTGGTAGCGGACCACGCCCTACTCGCAGGCGCAGCCGCCTGTGCTTCGATCGTGCTGTCCCACAGAGTCTCCATGAAAGGCCCAAGAGCGTGGGGTATGGAGAGCTTCTGGACAATTAAACTCGAAAAGGTTTGCAGGGCAAACAAGAACTCATTTCCGTGCCCAGGAAGGTGGCACACTCGAATGGGAACAGAAGCTCCTGCACTTGAGCCCCTTCCAGACCTTGCTCCATGTATCTTTCCATCTGATTGTTTATTTATATCCCTTGTAATAGTCCCTTATAATAAACTGGTAAACTTGAGTCAGTGTTTCCCTGAGTTCTGTGAGCCACTCTAACAAATTAATCAAACCCAAGGAGGAGCTGTAGGATTCTTGACTTGTAGGCCATCAGAAGCACATTTAAAACCACCCAGGGCTTGCAACTGACAGTGGAGATGGAGGCCGGGCCCTCACCCGGTGGGACCTGGCACTATGTCCCTGTAGTTGGTACCAGGATGGAGCTGAAGTGGTGACACCAAATGGTGTGCGTGGAAATGCCCGCATGCGCTTGGTCACAGCAATCTTCCGTGGCTGTTGTGTGGTGCGAGGGCAGAGGACAGACAATGTGACTGTGTTTTCCCCACACTCAAAAACAGTGAATGTTCAAGAAGTCCTCTCAATTGCCCTTCTGTCTTCCCTTCTTTCCTTTATTATATCTTCCTTTTCTCTGCCTTGCTCACATGTATTCAAATACCTGATGGCTTCCAGAAACACAAATTAGAGAGTTTTTCCCGGGAATTTTACCTTTAGGAGGTTATATAAATTTCACATGAAATTTTAAATGGCATGAGCTATGTCAAGGAGTATAGGGAGGACAGTGGTACTTTTAGGATTTGTGACACTACTGTGTAAGTCTAGCTCTCCATCCAAGGATAAAAACAATGCCACAGTTTCTATTCCGGGCCTAGCATTCTAGGAAGACCGTTGGCACAGCTGCCTGTGTGCTCCCGTGCAATGCCTCAGGAAGAGTCACTGAATGGACTTTTCTTAAGTAGCCATTGTACTCACTACAATCATTAGGTGCTTGTTATTTTCAGCAAAAATACATATTTTAGCTTTTGTTTGTTTGCAACACATTAGTGAAAACTATTTGTCATATAACTTAAGGCTGACGGAGGAAAGGCTAGGACAGGCATGTCCCAGAGAAGACAACATGCGAACACTGGCATCGGAGGGGATTTCCAGAACACTGGAGAAACAGGGCTGTGGGTAGAAAATAGTAAACATTTTTCAAATATGCCACAGCTTCATCAAGGCGAGGCAGTTATCAGCCTGCTACTAGGGGTCAGGTCAGAGTTCGTATCCGTGCTTTCTATGGATGCGGGAATCGAGGGAAAAAGCATGTGGCAAATCACATTGCACGTATGAAAAGTGCACTCACGGATCAAAGGGGTCACTTCATAAAATTTTCAGTTCACCATGTGGAATTGCCATCACAGGAACGGTCACAGTCATATTCATATTGGCCAATCTGTCTAAAACTTAGCGATAGACATGCTGTGGGAGCCTTGCCGGCCTTTGATGACCTCACGACAAATGAAGCAGCACTTATGTTATGAGTTCCAAGACGCAGGTGAGAACAGCGGGCCTCAGGGAAGCAGAAAACCTCTGTAGGGTAGGTAACACTTTCAATTAGTGGACTGGATGGCAGGGTTTCAAGGAATCTGACTGATAGGACACTATGTCCTTCAGAAGCAGCTTCATTCATGCATTTGTTCATTCACTCATTCTTTTGTCATAGCTGTGAGAAAAAATAAAAAGCACCTACACTCAAGAAATTTACTTTCCAGTTAGGGAAGGACAATTAAGATAAATGTACACACACACACACACACACACATACATACACACCCATACATGCACACATACATACACACACACAGCGAACATACAAGCGAGCGAACAACAGCGAATGTACATCCCCACCATGCTGCACACGGCAGCCGTGACTAGAGCCTCACCATCACGCCCTGACTAGAGCCCCATCACGCCCTGACTAGAGCCCCATCACGCCCTGACTAGAGCCCCACCGTCACGCCCTGACTGGAGCCCCATCACGCCCTGACTAGAGCCCCACCGTCACGCCCTGACTAGAGCCTCACCGTCACGCCCTGACTGGAGCCCCACCGTCACGCCCTGACTAGAGCCTCACCGTCACGCCCTGACTGGAGCCCCACCGTCACGCCCTGACTGGAGCCCCACCGTCGCGCCCTGACTGGAGCCCCACCGTCACGCCCTGCGCTCCGCCAAGTCCACCCCGGGCGGGGCCCTGCGGACAGATGCTGCGGCGCCTGTGCGCACGCACGCCGCGTCGAAACCCGGTCCCCGCGTGGGCCCTCTGCGGGCGGCGGCAGCCCTCCTCTCCAGGCCCGCCCACTCGCCCTCCTCGGGAGGCGGGACCCGCTCAGCCTCGGGGAGACGGGACACGGAAATGATTGATATTCTACTGCAGCACGGCCTGGCCACAACACAAATCAGATGATGGCTCTCAATGGCCCCAAAATGGCACCTTCAATTTAACACGCGACGTGGGCAACTTTTGTCCCTCACAGTGGAAAACGGCCCCCAGTTCCTCCTGTCTGGGCCTTCTTTGCCCTCAGATCTTTGCCCTGTTTCCAGCCCGGCTCTACCTGCCGGGTCCGACCCCTCCCCGCACCACCCGACTCAAGTGAAGACTCCACCCCAGTGACCCACGGCCTCCGGGCTGACGCCCTCCCCAAGCGTCATCTCCTGCAACCGCCAGTCCACCCTCCGCCCGCCTCGCAGTCCTCCGGCCTCCCGAACCCCGCCGGCGTCTCCCCGCGGGCGGCCGGGGCGCTTGTCGCGGCCCACGCGGCTCCGGTCGGGACGTTGGGAGGGCGCGTCGCTCCCTCCTCCGCGGGTTCCAGCGCCGAGGCGGCCGCGCGTCCTCTTCTTCACCCTCCCTGCGCGGCCGCGCGTCCTCTTCCTCACCCTCCCTGCGCAGCGGCGCGTCCTCTCCGTCACCCTCCCTGCCCGGCCGCGCGTCCTCTCCGTCACCCTCCCTGCGCGGCCGCGCGTCCTCTCCGTCACCTCCTGCGCGGCGCGCGTCCTTCTCGTCACCCTCCTGCCTCGGCCGCGCGTCCTCTCCGTCACCCTCCATTGCCGCGGCCGGCGTCCTTCTCCG